CTTTCCTGTCATCCAAGATGAAAAAAAAAACATTTTCAAACTATTTACACATTTATAACTTGAAGAAATTCACAATAGCAAAGTATAATGTGGTTAAAACTATCATGACCAGTGAGCACCTTTCGGGTGTTGAGTGCACATTAACTTTCAAAGTTTAAGTAAAAATAGAAATTTATATATTTCAACAATTTTAAACTCAAAAATATAATTGGTACTCTTTCATTTTGTAACATTTATTTAATGTACTTTGCTTATAACTAATGCACTTGTAGATTTGTTTTAGAATTTTTCTGCCCATTATAATACATACTTTCTTAGCAAATATAAAGAAACCTATCTTCCCTTAAGATTATACAGTAACTAGCCATGTCCTGTTTCTCTTGTGATTTCCCTTCTTTGTTTAAGATGTTATCAAAACAACTCTTCCTTCACAGCATTTAGTCTGAACAATTACTAGTAAAGCACAGCTTTGAAAATAGCTACAGTCAAACTTAAGTATCATTGGATAGAGAAGATTATAAATTATTTCAATGTAAAGTGAATAATATGGTGTAAAATGTAACTCGTAGCTTCACAGGGAAGTGATCAGAGGTAGCTCCTTGAAAGAATTAAATTTCCTAATGTGGAAATAACGTCTGATCAGAGTAAGCTATTTACTGTTATTAATACACAGATATAGAACCAGTAATTTTAATATTAATTTTGCATGGATATCTAAATTATCAGTTAAAATTTACTCATTTCCTTTACAAATAAACCATTTTCTACCTCCTTTTGCCCCCTCCCTCCAGACCATAGTGGCAGTTGTGAACACAGCTGTGCTTGCTGTTAACCTCCAGATTGTTTTCAGCTTGACCCATTTTCATTCATGTTTTATGTAATTTGATCAAGTACTTCCACTGTGAAAAAATAAATCAAGGGATGTCGGTGATTCCCAATCAGCCTAGGAAGAGATAATTCTAAAATTTGAGAAGTTCACAATAACAAATTTTATTGAAATAAATTTAAAGGTTTTCATACTTTTGAAGAATACACAAATAAATGTTTTCTGGCTTAAGATCATTACTGTGTTCCTGTGTCTGGTGATTGATTCTGTTTTGTGCCCACAGTCTACTGCTGTTGCTTGGAAAACTCTTGTTCTGTGTTTTATACATAACTTGGAAAATATTTCTTAATAATGGGGTAGAAAAGTTCTAATGATTGACTCTGAGTGACAAGACCACTTCAAAACTAATTATGTGTTATTAATGTGCATAAAGTCTTAAAATAGAGTATGTTTTATGTGTATTTTTTTAATATTGATGTCCACCTTTTATGTAAACAAAGTTAAGCACCTGAAACTGATAGGTATGTTTATGAAATAATTAATATCATGTGTGAGTTTTTACTTTTTTTAAATATTATGTCATATTACAGGAAAAACTGCAAGTTGTAGAAGATCTACTTTTACGTAATCACATCTTATCCATCATTTCCATGTTCCAGCCTAAGCTTGACTCATTGACACAGAATCAGCACATTTCCCTGATTCTCATGTGTGACTGGTTATTCACTAAATATGACATAATTGTACCTGAAGTTTACAAAGTATTTGGTAAAGGTGTGCCTCAACGTCTTGAAGATATTCCAGCTCGAGAGACTTGTCCAGTATGTAAAAAGGATGTCCCTTTCACTGATGCTTTTTACGGGTCCTGCTCCAATTCTCATACATTTGGTCGATGCTCTCAGTCACTACTGTTGTGTTCTAAAACTTACTTAAAGTGTTCATCTTGCTTAAGATTAATGATATGGCCAGTTGTGTGGAATGAGCGGGAACACTGTGCAGTGTGTTCCTACTGGCTTAGATGAGAAAGAACCTTTTAGGACTGACACATTAACTTTGTAATCAAATGTCTCATAAATCAACAAAAGCAAGAGATGCAAATATAAACATAAATAACATAAGCTAATCTTATTTGAAAGTTAAGTTTAGCCTATGTAAAGCAGCAAAGGTATTCTTTTATTCACTACTTATTAACATATTGATAGCATTTAGTTCTAGCAGACTGAAAGTTTATGTATTTAGTGTTGTTAAATCTTTTAATAGAATTTCCATAGAATCAACTATTAAATTTCTGATATCTCTAAAATGTAAAATGTTTCCTTAGTAGATACATTTTCACAAATATAACCTAAAAAATGTCATATTCAGAATTTAAAATTTATCTTTAATATGTAAATACATGGTCATCATATACTGAGCAAAAATGTTTTACAAACATGTGCAATGCCACAGATAAGTGTGTTGACTTACTTTTATTAATAAGCTTTACATGTTGTGTAACAAATTCCTAAAACATTTTAGTTTTCAGATTTCAAAATACATAGATATTTTGGAGAAAGTACTGAAAGTGTATATAAAAGCCATTTTGTTTTGTTGAACTCCATCTATCAGTACTGAAGTTTCTTTTGCAAAATGGAAGCCACGCTCTTTAGATTCTTGCCTTTACTTGAATAAGCTAAGCAGACTTTTTTTTTATTTTTTTATGATTGAGCAAAATTTAATGTAAATGATGATGTTTGTTGGTAGATAACATTTTCAAGTGTTTAAGTTATTAAACAATTCATTTGTTCAGTTCATTTCAATAAAACTGTAAACCTGTTAGGCCCAAGAGGATAGTTAAAGTATGGTGTTTAACAAAATTTCTTGCAAGATATTTAAATAAAATATTTTTTTTAATCATGAACAATACGATATGTTTATTACAGTTATAGTACATATTAACTTTTGGGGGATTTTGATCTTTATATTCCTGAATTTGATGGACAGTTCTTCTACTGACTTGGAGATATCTTTTCCTAATGGACACCTAGGGAAAAAATTATGAATTATTTTTTAACTTTATGGCAAAACCTTAACACATCCATTTTAGGTATAATGATTACTTAGAGCAAAAACATTGTACCAACACATAAGAAGTATCACTTTCACTACTAGTGTTTGTTTTCTTATTCGTTCTTTTAATCTAATAATCATTTTCTAGATGTTTTTGTTTTAACAATTACATAACATTCCTAACTTAAATTGTTTTTATAAACATCTGCTTTCGTAAGGTAATCCATTCATAAGTTTTAATTTTTTACTTCCACCTGGTGCAAGTAATGTTTGTTTTTTGTTTGAGAACAATGTAATTATTTTAAAGAAATAATAGTATTACCAATAATAACATTCTAAAATGATGTGTTCAGTGTATGGACATCTTAAGTTCAAGATCTCTTGATATTAAATGCCAAAGTTTCCAAGAGCATTTGATATAAATTTGTAGTTATATCAGTACTTAGCAAGAAATATCAATCAAATTTTCGACACATCTGATTCTGTTAGTTCTGTGGTTTTTAAACATAAATATGAATTAATCCTTCCTTCTAACTAGTATTAAGCTAGCACAAAAGAAACCACTTGAATAATCTTACTTTGCTTGGATATCCACTTCATCCAGATTTTCAGCAATTCCAATACCTGCTTTATATCTTTCTATGCCATTCCTACATTATATATAATAAATAAACATTCTATAAATTGATAATTTATGTGGGATGGACCACTATAGTAAAACAATTTAGAAAAAAAATTGATAGAAACAGTTGCTTGGCTGTAAAGAAAATACATCCCTGCCTGGGTAGAATTGGTAGAAACTACACAATGCAAATCACTATTCATAATATTAAGTTCCAAAGTAGACTTCATCAATTTGTTTAAAAGTGTACATCAGCAATTAAACTTTATTTTAACAAGATATCCATTGAAATGGAGTATTTAAGTGTTTCGATACCTCACTACTATAAAGGCTTGGTTTGGTCCGCTATTTCATTGGTGGTAGTGTCTGGGGTCACTGATGAGGAATGGAATTCTCCAAAACTAGTCTGGCTCACATAAATGCTCCCAATGAAAGAATAGACCATTCCAAGCTTTTATTTGTTGTTAAACAAATGTTTAAACAACTCTATTCAAGATATCCATTACAATAATAAAATTGTAAGTCTAATGTATCATATTTTTTAAGCTCAAATATTTCCTTATTCTGGGTACAACACTTAATGTAAGTTTTGTTTGAAAAGATTACTAAACAAAACTGATATATACTGAAATGAAAGATTATTTCTTTACCATGCTGTTACAAAGTTTAAATCACACACTTAATGCCATTATTATAAGAAAGATATTAAGCAAATCAGTGGTAAAGAATTTATCTAATCTTAAATGAACTACAAAAAGTTTGATTTATACATAACTACTGTGAACACTATACAAAATTATATATGTTGCAATAAGGAGAAAAACCAAAACTTGCATAGCTTTCCTAAATGCTAAACCGTACAGTCCACTATCTTTGAAATAAGTCATATGGCTCTTGCATACAAATTGGCAATATTAATTTCCTCCAAGCTTCGAGAGCTGTATAAGGGGCTAATATAAAACAGATATATCATAAGTTCTTAATAGCTTGTCATGGTTTTTCTTTTGTTATAAACTTCTGTGACATCCCAACTAAAGGTCCAGAATGTAGCAGCAGATATCAACAGTGAAGAGTTTATCATAGAATGGACAATGGATGGGTAATGATGCTTAACAACTATTTCAACTTTGAAAAACATCTGTTGTCTTTTGTGACCTTAATCTCCTACCAGCAAGTTAATCTTGTATATATTGGGAACCACAGTGTCTGCCCAAGTGTTCGTGTGTCTCCCGTTTGAAATAATGGGAGAACAGGCATGAATAACGTTGATGCCAAATTTTATTTCACAAGCAGGATATTCTACATTAACATGTTAAGAATTAATCACACTATCATTCACATTTCAAAATGTGATGTAACTTAAAGAATAAAAATGTAGATTTACCATATGTTGTTGTTGAGCAGCTCTTGGCATGCCTGAAATGCTCAACAATTACTTTTCATGGTGGGCAGTATAAGTAGCTCAGAACTTTGGGTCTGAGTGAAACCAAGGGTGCAATACAATTAACCTTTTTAAAGACCATGAAATAATTTAAACTGATATGTTAACTTAAATTTTTCCCATCACTGGGGCTGTACTTTTGCTTGTATCTCATAAAATGTTATGTGATTATATTCAATGGAATGGATCACTGAGTAGATGTAAAACAATACGAGTTATTTTCTCATCACTACATTATGGTAATTACTTCATATACATACATGAAGAGATGTAAATATGTGAAGTAACTATACTTAAGTATTTTTATTTTTAAATACTTTTACTCTAACTTAAGTACATGTTAGGAGAAAATATTGTACTTTAATTATACTAAAATTTTATCAAAATCTGTAAAGTACACAAATTTGGAAAATGCCCATGGATAAAGAAACCAATCCAAGGATACAGAAAATAAGGGAATTTAAATTATCTAATCATGCTCGTTCAGTTCTGGCAGCTGATAATTAACATCAGTCCTATAATTCGCGTCTCTTTCACTTTGTTTGGGTTGTTAATGATGTTGGACGTGAAGGTGATTGATTCTACCTCTGACTCTGTGGGTGCTGGCCATACCTAGAGAAATTCTTCAAGTTCAAGAAGATGGTAGGAAATATTGTCTGCCTACAGTGGTTGACAAAAATGGTTGATGTGTCAGCATACGCAAACACATGGAAGTAAGTGTAATCTTATTACTCAGGGGAATTCTCATTGTAAACACTGTAGGATGCATAAGCTGATAAATTCTACATTGTGTTCCTGGAACCTGGGTCAAGTTGGCTTATTTCTGTATGCATGCTTTGTTGCTCTCGAGAGTATCGTATTATGGTGTCATGTAAACAGTCTAAGGACACAATCGTTGACTTGTTGCTTTATCTTTAGCTGATTTCTACTTCAGTCATTGACAGTAAAATAAACACAGAAAATAAATGTTAAATGTTTAGCTGTACAAACTCTGAAAAGAAGTACTTTGAAAGAGGGCACGGGTAATCCACTCCCTGAAACCTCCTGTTGACAACACACTATGTCATGGCAACGTGCAACTCATGAACACTCATGTCCTGCATACACCAAACAAAATGGAGGGCCTTAAAATTCAGAAAGTTAGTACAGTCATTATGGAATCCAGCTTTGTGTGGCTCTTTTTATATTAAGGGCACCTTGCTATAGAGGGCATTTGGACACAGTTTGAAGAGTACTCTTAATGAAAAAAAAAATTTCTTGAAGTTTGAACCCAAAGAGACTTTTCCCAAATTGGAAATTAAGTATAAATAATAAAATTCAACATTTTCTTATTATTCATGGAATTTAGTGAAATAATTTAAGAAAAATCAGACCCGATATGTTTAAAAATAAAATGTTAATAGAAAACTGTTTTGGTTGTCATTTTACTTGTAGACTGTTTGCATCTTTATTATTTACTAATCATACACAAATATAATGGCAGAACCAGTTTTAGTGACAGAAGATTTAGGAGTTTGATTAGGACATGTGCTAACCTTACTTCAGTATATGTAATCCATTTTGGTTTTAATATGTTATTTTAATTTATATTTGAACATATTAATGTAATATTATACAAGGGTTGTCTCTTACCTCAATGTAAAATGTTGTTATTGCTATTTTACTTTGGTTATCTTAGTGAAAACTGAAATTACGACTTAAAAGTTAAACGTAGCTCTGAGTCTGCCATTGTAACAAGAGTTGTTTTAATGTTATATACTCTAAGTCTCTTAGTTTAAAATACAAAACTTATAAGACATTTGTATAAATTTGTATTCAGAATGATATGAAAATTTAAATTATTTAGCTCAAAATTGGAGAAAACTGAAAAGGAATTTCTAACTATTAATAACTTAGCCATACTTGAAGTGACAACAATGTCAGCCTATGAAACGTGTCGCACATTGTTGAAACCAAAGCTTAGAAACTTATGATTAATGTATCATATGCTTGATAGGAGGCTTCTTATCCACCTTTCATTCCCATCTTTTATTTACATCACATCAGTGGGTTTGTCCTCTGTGTCTTTCATAAACTTTTATAATCATTACCCAGAATTCCCACTGAGCTTAATAATAACTGGAGAGCATAACCTAATGGATGCAAATAGAGGATTTTGAAGCAAAATGGATGGCACATTGAGGAACACAGTCTTACTTGCTATAATTTGTATTGGCTAAGAAGGTTCTTATTATTCTAACTGATTTCAACATGTAGTTGACCAAGATCACATCTGTTTTCTTTTGTTTACATGGGAGCATGCTCTGTCATAAATCTTTAATATTTAGCATTGACAAAACAAATTGTCCTCTTGTGTAGATTTAAGAGCATTTTGAGGGGGGGGGGATTTTGGTTTCTAGCAAAGTACAAAGTGTCATATGAATGAAAAATTCCATCTTGGGAGGGACTTGAGCATAGAATCCCCAGAAAATTTCCATTTTCACTGCACCTTTAATATGCTGTTTTTTATTACAGCATGCATCAACATCATCTCCAGAAGTACTCAGAGTTGACATCGCAGGCTGGGAAGAGGAAGGTCATCAAAACTGAAACTTCAGATGATTCCTCAAACAAGGAATGCAAGATATTCTCTGTGATTAATTCTAAGAGCATGTCCAAGCCCATACTCGATAAGACAGTTAACAACTATATTAAGAAGGGACTTCATCCATTCAGTATTGTGGAGTCACAAGAATTCCAGGACTACAGCTTAATGTCAATACAAACTGTTTGTAAGTGAAGTAATGAGGCTACTACAGAGATGAGAAATAATTTGATAAATACAGTGATTAAAGTGCAGTACATTACCACAACTACTGACTGCTGGACATCCAGAAGATAGAGTTATATTGGTGTGACTGCTCATTTGATTGACATCAGTCGTCTTGAGAGGTGTTCTGCTACACTAGCCTTCAGATGTTTGAAGGGGCCACAAACCTGTGATGTCTTCGCCAGCACCTTGAATCATATACATTCAGAGTATCAGATCTGAGACAAGATTATCAGAACTATAACTGACAGTGAATCAAATTTTATGAAGGCATTCAAGGTAGTTGGAGAAGATAAAGTAAAACAACAGTCTCAGGATGACGAAAGCATTAAAGAACAGGTCCAGATAATGGCAGAAGATTAAGATGATCCAGCAGAGGATATCAGTTTTTCAAGATACTGTTGCTCTTCTAGACAAGGAGAGTGACATCTATGTATATAAACTCCCTTCACATAACCCTATGCATGCCACCTATTGAAACTGATTCCTACAGTGGATGTCATGAATGTACAGGGCAATGATACATACTAGAAATTGTTCCAATCAATCTTTAGAAAATGTCGGGCACTGTGGAACAAAGTTGGTCGATCAGCAGTACCATTTTTGAATCAGAATGCAAGCTGCAGCTGATTTGGCCAAACTGGAAAAGGTAGAGTTCTACGTTCTTGGCCATTGAGAGGATCTTGTGCATTAAGCAGGAGCAAGGAGAAAATGCCATTAGGAATATATGTTCAGCATTCAAGATTAAAATGTAAATAGTAATTCATGATTTCCTTGCTTTTGAAATTGCTGGACCAATCTTTCTTTTTTGCATTGTACGTATATTATTTTCCTCATATATTTTGCCATTCATTTATTAGTCAAACTTAACTGTAGGACATGCAAAGGCTTAATGTAAGAATACGTTTACTAGTCTTGATGTCAAATGATCTGTGAGGCCTATGGTACAGTTCTACATATGTAGAATTTAATTGTATATTAAGGTTTAATGTTAAATAGTAATGTTTGCTCATCCTGATTTCAAATGAACTGAGAAGCCTAAGAAACAGTTTTATACAAGTATGATAGGTAGAATTGTATATTATTTTAACACAAATATTAACTTAACGTCCTGTAGTGCTGGAGTTCATGAAAGAATATCACACAGTGATGAAACCAGTGACAAAGGCACTGGACATCTTGCAGTCTGAAACTAACACTCTATGGGGTGGCTGCTTCCTACATTCTATCAAGGACAAGTAAGGCTTGATAAAGTCTACTATTCTGCAAAGCTGTGTCATCCCCTAGTAACTGCTCTTAAGTCAGGATTACAGAAGCGGTTTGCCACCATGTTGGAGAATCCAGAATTAATCACTGCAGCCATCTTGCTGCCAAAGTTTAAAACTACGTAGACCAACCAAGATTCCCTTCTCAAAAAAAAAGTGAGAAATTTAATTTATTAGATGCTTTCATTGATGTTCTTCCAAGAAAATGCAATCAGCCTCTGTCAAATGTCAATATCTCTTATGGTATGGTTACAAACATAAAATAAAAAAAAAATTGCCTTTCCACTCAAGCTATGTCATGAGATGATGCATCTATTTTAAGAGATGTAATTGTGTAAAACTATGCTGTGAGAGAAACTTTTTATAAATTGAAAATTTTTCCTGCATATATATATATCTTACAGGCAGTGTCATACTCCTATTTATGTCAACAATCATAACCAGCTGCTCCATATCTTTACCACAAATGATTATTACTGCTTGGTCTTTCTTTCACCATCAATATTTTTAATGCTGCTGTTCCTCTCACTAACCTCTATTTTGCATCTGTTTCCCCTTTGTTCTGTTCTTAAGTTTTTATAACCATTATTTCTTATTTCTTCTCTTTTTCAGGACTGGATTACATTATATTTGAGGTGGAAAAGAAATCACCTGATGCACAGGAGACAGTTGAGAGCTTCAATGATGAAGAAGATTTCTTTGCACTACTGAAGAAGCCTCAGCTGTGTGTATGAAGAAGGGGGCTAGACACATATCTGGCCAACTCGGTTAACAGTAGCATGGTTATGTTCAAGTCTTTTCCCAACAAATACACCACTGACTGGACAGTAAAAACTTTGAAAATCAATTATTGTTAAAACTTAATAAAAAAGTTCTGCTAATAAAGTCTGTTGGCCATGTACACTGTAAGATGTTACTTTCTACTTGAGTATATTCTGACTTAAGTACAATTTAGAAGTGGTACTTTTACTTCAACTTAAGTAAAAAATAAAATACATTTTACACCTCTGCATACATGTAGTTACTGACAAAAGACATTTAATATGCATCTACTCAAGGTTTATACATCCAAAAATTTAAAAGAAGAAGCAGGAGTATATCATGACTTTGAATGGCAATTAAACATGTACATGTCCCTGAATGATAGAGCAGCAGTTAAATAAGAACTTTCAAATGAAAACCTGTACATTTTTCGTACTCTTTAGCTCTTAAAAACAAATTATACTAACTTCAGGCCACCCAGTAACATTTTTATTTCTTCTTAAAATAGGCCAAATAAACCTATAAATTTGAAGATATCCCTATATATTTAACCAAAACCATTGCCTCAAAATTTTAAATATTGTACCTCAATCCAAATACACGGTGGCATAGGGTTTTAAAATACAAACCTAACTTTCATCAGCAACCACTCTGTGCTTTCTTTGCATTTAAGTGGTACACCAATTAGTTACCAATAATTATCTAACACAGATGCATGGGAATATGATAAAGATTGTGCAGTATATTTGATGTGGGAGCAAATACAATATAAGTCACATCTATATTTAGAAAGAATCTTCAAAGAAAACATTTCTTTTTGCAGTAGCCCACTGAGAAGTCCATACTTTATATTGGCTTCTTACTACTAGTCTCACTATACAGCATTATAGATATTTAAGTTTTTGTTTTTCTTAAATAAACATGACTGACACAGTTAACATTTGTAAACTTGGAAAATACCTAAGAAAACAAAAAAGGATTCCATTTATAGATATTGCATAAAAAAATATATTAAAAAATGTGTTATAAAATTTATCAGTTTTTTCCACCATCAAATGTCTTTTTTTTTCTTTAAAATAAAACAAAAATAGAATGTAATAGTTGATCACTAAGTAAAATTTATCTATAGTTTTAGCATGTTCCTTGTATCTTTTCTATGTAAGAATACAATTTCCATTTTCTTAGTGTTAAAATATAAGTAACTGTAAAGATTTTTTATTTCTCAATTATGATGCACAAAATTAACAGTATTCTGTATCTTTATTGCCTTGTTCTTTCTTTAGGTAATGCATTACTTGGACATCTCAGGATGAAATTCCTATATTTTAAAAAAGTTGTACATCTAGTTTTTATAGCAATGGCCAGAAGAATTAACTGATATATCTATGTGCATCCAAGTTGTTAATTAACTATAATATGATGTTCTTCAATAAAATAATTTCAGATTCTTGTTTTAGGTAAAAACAGCATCAATAAATTAGAAATATTGAGGACTAATTTGAGGTTAAAAATGTCGTTAAAAACTTAAGTATCATGTACTAGTCAAATCAGTGTATGATGTCTAACTTAAAAAAATATACAAGACATAACATGATATCTCATAACTAAGATTTGATTGTTGTATTCTATCCAACCAAGTGATTTCTGGTATTAAGTAAAATACTATGTCTACAGTGTTTTATTGCTAGCAGAGCTGCTGTACAGTGAACTTACTGGAAAGCTATACTGGACTTATAAAGAAAGAGATGTTTGGATTTACTATCAATCGTATTAAAAATCATTTAGTTCTTTTGGCTAACAGTGGTGTCTAGGTAGTATGAATACTGACTAGTAACATTTATGTAAATGGTCATGAACATTTACATAAAAATATAATATACTGATTACATTATTCTATCATTAACTTTTTCTTCATGTGAAAAGTATAAAATATTTTCTTACCAAGCTATCATAATTCCATTGTCTGTACATAATTTTGGTGGAGGGCACACAAGTTCAAAGTCTATGTGATCACAAACTAACTTCAAAACGGCACGGATGTAATGATTGCAAGCCACACCACCCGAAACCACTAGAACTTTCTTGTTCACTGGTAACAATTCTTCAAGTTCACAAAATAACAGTGCTCGATGTACTCTCTTTACAATATGATTGGCGATAGCATGTTGGAAAGATGCACAAATGTCTGCTACATTTGGGAGAATTAGATCACCAATAATATCTATAAAATATAAAAAATTCTGCCAATTATGTTTCATTTTAGACAAAAACATCAATTATCTTAACTAAAAAATTTAAGAAAATAATATTAAATCTTTTTTCTGGTCTACAGAATATTTCTGGATAAGTGTATTCATGCTAATTACCAACAATTAGAAAGTTAGAAAAAAAGCAACCATACGTATGGTAAGAAAATATTTAAAAAATAAAACAAACTACTAAATGTGATAAATGTCTGTGGACCTATATAAGGTTATCAATAAATTCAGCAGGGAATTTACAATATTCTTAATCTTGGTCATTTCCTTGAGTAACAGAATTTTTTTAACTTGCTTTTACAAGCAGCTGGTTAAATCTAAACAAACTAACTTTTAAAACAGCTGGTATAAAATGAAAATAAGCATATAATTCAAAAAATGTTAACATTCTAAACATTCACTTTAATACTACTTCATTGTTGGTTTTTAGCAGGATAAATGTATAAAAGGCAACAACAGTCTAATGCATTCTACTAACTTAAGTATGTTTGTTTCTTAAATTTCATGCAAAACTACACAGGCTACCTGGCTTGCTGTCCTTAATTTTGAAATGAGAAACTAGAAATAAAGCAGCTAGTCAACACCACACACTGCCTACTCTTATAATGTGCACAGCCCCAAAGTGTTGAGCAAGATTTAATTTTTCCAGTAACAGGTTGCAAACCTCAGATCCACTGAGCTGCTCTCAGCTCAGAACTTAAAAAATATGAAAACCAATATTAATGTGTCACAATAACATCTCTGATACACTGGTCTGCAATGTGTTCTAATTATTGGTTATTTATCATTTGCATGATACACAAAATAACATGTAAATCTAGTTATAACCATTAAAAAACTTGGTTATTCCTCTGGAATGCATTACATGCATAGTCAAGCAATTACACCTGTGTAGGGATATATGGAATGAAGGTTAGTATATGCCAAAGATCTAATGACACAATGCAGTGAAAGGGTTATAACAAACAACCTTACATAATTTTAAGTAATTGTAAATCTAATTATTATTGTCCTACCATAACAGTAAGCAAACTTTTATTTCATTTGTATATGCAATATTATGAATTTCATGTTGAGATATGACTTCAAAAAGTGCATTTAGCAACTAAGAAAAGGGTAGTGAAATTCAAATTTGCCTTGTGAAAAGTTAAAATATATGATAATATTGGTAACTGAATTTTACATTTCCTAATACCAAACAAAAATTTGTTGTAACAGTTTCTATCAAAAGGCAGGTTACTTTTGATTAATTAGTAAAAGTAATGTAAATCCAATGCACTTAGTGACAACAAAAATGATTTCTTTCTTAGACTATAACAAGTTCCACAAGCTATGGGCTAACTCATAAATAAAATTAAACAGTCACTTATTTACAAACTGTGTACTTTGTTGACATATTAATTCAAATTTTTTACTCTAAACTGATTTACTAGTTCACTAGTGTTTTTTGTACAAAAATGTTCCCAATATCTCTCAAAAATTCAAGATACCATATCAAACTGAAATGCTCGGAAAGTTTCTAGGCATCACTATATCATGTGAAAACTCTCTCTATCAAACAAAATCTAAACTAAGATATTAAAAACATAGCCAACAACAACAACATTTTTATTACTTGATTTAAATATACATTATATACAACTCCAAATCAAGTAATTTATATTACTGCTGATACTATTCTAAACTAGCATTTAAATAACTACCATGTTTTTTCTCCTCCGCAGTAATGATCTTATATGCTCTAAACTTTAATCCTGCAAAAGAGAAGTTGCAATCTCTATATTTTGACAATGGGGTAGGAAAGTTAAAGGCCTGAGAATTTCCTTCTTTAGCTAAAGTTTCAATGGCTTGTCCACCTCCAACAGTTGACAAAGCAGGAATATTCCTGAGCTTTAGGCGTCGTGCAATCTGGAAGAAAGAAGTCTTGTAAATATCAACAAATATCAGTGAAACTGTAGTTACTCTAAATATGTATCACTTTATACATTTCATTTCATGAATTTCACAGACCAAATTAGGCTCAACAACCCAAAAAGTTAGGTATTCAACTATAGGTAACCATTTTTTAATTACTTCACATAGTTGAGAGAATTTAACTTATTAAATATTGTCAGATGATTTAATTCAGGAGTGAATAATATACAGCAGGAAAATGGTTAAGGAGAAAGTTATGGTTTGGATATGATTTTACTAAGTACAGTATTGTGATAGGCAGCAGCACCCTTAGGGCTAATTGTTGAAGTTTCAATTATACTGCCAATCACACCAAATTTATTGAGTGAAGGATTGCAGTGGCGAGTGAAACTCACAAGTCGTTAACTCGAGGAAATTTAGAGTTAGAATAAAGAGACTGTGACTGATATTCAAAACAATGCATTAAATTTATTTAAGTTTCTCAACATAAAATATATTTCTTTAATCAATTACTGACTTTTAATTATAGGACGTGTTTGTGTCAACAACACTATTACTTATATCTCGTACATAACACCAAGTTTCTTAGCTTTTATATGTTTCTTTAGAGTCCATCCAATTCACATTAATTGATTAAGGGAGAAATAGTTTCATTACTTACAACATAGCTGAGCTAGTAAATCTTCGCAGTTGAGGAACCTTCATAGTTGCTGGCTTATCAGTGACTCTTGGGAAAATCTCGATTCTTCCTGGAGAGAACTGATTTTTGCTCCAGACACGAGTTTTTAAACCATATTTTCTTTGTATTCTTTCGACCTTCCAAATAGCATTCCTAACTACCCGCAAGTAGTTCTAACACTTTATTGGTCAATCTGTGCAACTTCCTGGGCTAATCCAAAACAAGAACCAAAACTCTCAAGTAATTGGTTACTGTGATGGTGAGTGCTCGGTTGCATTTTCACTTGTTCTATTACACTGGTCTGGAGTAATATATCTGGCATCAAAGTGCCGATTTGAGATGTTGTCATAAACTTTTTAGTAGTCTTTACTACTACTAACTCAGCAATGGTAATTTATCATTGTCAATCTTATGGCTAGCATTTCTCTCAACACCTCTGTTGTAGCTCCATTTTTTTATAACTCCTAATTTGTGATTCTCAATACCACTTAACCAGCTAGCTGTACTTTCCTAGCTCTTGACCTTATTTCGTAATATAGATGTCTTTACTTATGCTGTTTCTTCATGTATATGTTCACTTAAAAAACTCAAAAATCATAACTTCTTTCCTAGATTCTTTTAAAATGCTGAAATATTGAAGCAATTGTAAAATTCCCTCAGAGATATCAAATTCCTTCACTCCTCCCTCCTTAGAAAAATGTTGTTACTTGTAACAAAATTTTACTAGTCAACCAGTTGTTCCATCTCTCTTTTCCTCAACCAACGTACAATGCTACTAAATCCATTTTACAATTAATCTTCAATATCTAATATCTCCAAAAGTACAACTTTGAATATTGATTGGATAATATACTGATTATCAATACATTTAATACATGCAATTTATTACATAACGTAAAATACAAAATACATGACAAATTCTAAAGCCAATAACTATAGCACTGTTAACTGATACAATGTAGAAGGTAATAAAATAAAGACTATATTATAAAGAAACCTCAACCACTGAACAATGCTACATTTTGTATGTTCAAAGTTTGCCTCTAAAAATATTCTAAAAAGTTTTTTAGGTTGCTGCCAAAGTATTTACGAAAAGATGAAAATAAACCTATAGTGTCTCAACACAAATTAGAATTTGTGGGTTTATAGTTTTAAATAATAATATATTTAAAGTTAAACAATCAAAATAACATTTCTTTTATAAAATAACAATACCAACCAGCTGACTGATTCACTTGTAAGTGCCATGTCTGAAGCAATGTTGAAGAAAAAAAAATACAATGCAAAAGATGCTATAAGACAACTAGAAAAAAATGAAAACTATAAGTTCTACAAAAATACCTCTTAATACTTGATTTTTTAAAATAAAAAATTAATGGAAAACATTTCACTCAAAATGTTTTTTTTTTCAATGTGATATCAGATACACTGTATTAGCATATGGTATTTATTTTACAAAAAATTTAGAAAACATTTTAAATTTATTGTATACAAAAAAAAGGAAATAATTTAAAATAATGACTTCACATGATACCCAATTTTCTGTCTACCCAAGAAAGGCACTAACATTGAACTAGTTTACATATTATGAAAACTTAAAAAACAAAAATACAGTGGTAAAAAGAATGTAAGCTGCTTTAGTTACCTTATCAAATGCTTCCCCAGGGGCATCATCAAGTGTTGATCCCAACAACAAGAAGTCATCAACATTCCTTACAATGGCGAGCTGACAGTGTCCACCAGAGGCCAAAAGAACCAGAAATGGAAACTCAATACTAAAAATACATCACATACTTTTTTGTATTTTACCAAAACTGTTAACTAAGAGCAAATATCAGAAAATAAGATATATATATATACTTTAAGCTGTTTAAGGCAAAGTGCACAGGGAACTTATTAAATGTTAGAACAAACACAAGGCTAAGAATTATCAAGCAAAAAATTAATTTTGGTAAGGTTATGGTGATATCAATCAGTGTCATGGTTAGTAGTCTATATTATTACTTAAGTATAATTAATTAATAACTAGATACTAGTCAGTTTTTATCCTATGTTTCAACTGCTAATCTTCTGCTGTCTTAAAGGCAAGTCCTGAGAAGATTTGACAGGATTTGATCCTGGGTTTTCTTGATAGAGAGTGTTGCATTAGCAATTCAAATGGGGTCTTATCCCATTAAAAATTAAATCAACTAACTATTTGAATGTTTTCCAAGATGGGTATTCAAGTTTTTCTAACTTCTCTGTTCAGTTTCCTTATCATGGAATCAATTAGATAGATGTAGAAGGATTCTGTTATTTTCATTTTTCTTGTATCTGTAGGCCTCCTCTAAGCCCCTGTGATATATGAGTTATGTATCTTTGTAACAATCATGTCAAGAGATGGGAGTTTGGTATCTTTTTTTCTATTTATTTTGTGAATTGTATTGCAGGTTTTTATCTGTTCAGTTGTTTGATGAATTCTTGACTCTTCTCTGAATGTATGTGGCCATATTATGAATGTATTATCAACACATCTGATCCAAATTCAATGACAAAACCTTGTTGAAATGTACATTTGCTGTTATGATAAACTTATATTAAAAAGTTTCTTCATTACCCATTCAAGCCGTCTCCAAGCATTATTACATCTGAGTACATTATTACATTGGGAGTAGAACAACTGCTTTGAAGGTGTTAATTTCAAAATTTTCCAAATAAAGGTTACAAAATGCTGTTGATAGGGTTAAGCCCATGGCTAGGTCTTCTTGTTGTTATTAGTATTTGTCTTTATATTGGAAATACCTTGTGTTCATACAGAAGGCTGCGAGTTCTATGAACATAGATATTATCATTTGGGTTATTCATTAAGAGTTCTCTCATTTTCAAGCTGTTGATTAAATATTTGTTATGTTTCAGTGGTCAGTACATTATTGAGAGGTTGGACACATCAAAGATTATCATAATGTCTTGCAAGGTTATCATGATTACTTTAATAATATCTAAAGTGGTCTAAGTTCTTAACATGTAAAGATGTTTTACCTGTCAATAAATTTGGCATCAAAACATACCTTTTATTCCAATTTTAATATAAGTTTGATTTCTTAACGTGAAAGGGAAATATTTATCTAAGTTCTCAATTTCCACTTCTATGTATCATGTGATGCCTCTCTGCTCTGAATTCTCCTATTTAGATTTTCTTTCCTCCCTTATGTGAATTTCAGAATGTCCACCAATTAGATATTGACAGGCCAGAATTTAAGATAAAAACCTTTTATTTTCTGAGATATCAATAAATTACATCCACCACTGAAACTCTTCACGCTTACTTATTTATTTATGCTTACTTGTCAGTGATACATGTCTATAACCAACAGAAAGACCATTTTGTAAATTAAATGATTATGAAACCTTTAATGTTAATTTATTTTGGTAAAAGGTACCATTTTTCAAGTAGATTTTATTGAATGAAGACAAAAGTTAGTGTTCCAGTAAGTAATGAAACTTAATCTTTTTTATAGGCCAGTTAAAAAGCCAGGTAAATTATAGTAGTTTGGGTGCATTCTGACAGAGAGGGTAGCCATGTTTGTGAATTTTAAGTAGACCATGAATGTGTGGAGGTGTTGTTGTCACCACTGTGGCATACTGTTAGTTTAACTGTTTCTATACCAAGTATTTGTTTTGTTTCTTGAACAGCTGTTTGACTTTTCTTCCTTGTGTTAGCAGTTAAGTTAAACTTGAATGTTTTTGTAATGGCCATCTTCAACACAAATTTGGTGTTTGATAGGGTATTGTTTTTTGTCCATGATTACAGCAACATTAAGACTGTTATGGTGTTTCTTTCGTTAAGTTTCTGAGGGCAGTATTATAGTGTAGTTTACATTTTATGGCTTTCTGAACTAATGACTTTATTTTGAGTCTGAATTTTTCTTTTTTTTTTCTCGTAGCTGTAAATTATGTCTTCTATGGATGTAGATATATCCAAAATATGTATTTTGTTATGTATTTTGGTACTGTTTTATCCTTAGTACATTTTCTTTGGATTCTGGTTAATTATGGCTATTAACTTAAGTTTATTACCATATGTTGAAGTGTTTGTAGTGTCAGGCCTCAAAATATCCACTCCAAACCCCAAGATATGGCTCAGATGTGTTGACAATACAATCTTAATATGCTCACACACTACAGACAAGATTCATAAATCTATGAACCACCTGAACTGAAAAAACCCATAGTACAATTCATAATGAAAATAGAATAAGATAAACTCACATTCCTTGATGTGATGTTACCAAGACACCTAACTCATTTACCACAGGAGCTTACAGGAAACATGCAGATCTGAATAAATATCTTAACTATATATTAAACACCACAACAGCATAAAGACATACATCACAAACTACCTAGTTTCCACAATGAAAAAAAGATTTGTAATTACAAAAAAGGAAAAACAAAATGGTTGAACCTTCACTGACAATGGTTACCTGGAATATGTGATAAAGAAGAAAATAAAGATAAATACAAGGAATAAAGTTACAGACATGCACCTAAGTTCCCCTATGTCAAAGATCTCTCTGAAAGCATACAGGAAATATTTAAACAGCATAAAGTCAGAAAAGTATTCAGAAGCCATAACATAATACAATTACATTTTGTACACGCCAAGTCCCCTACATACCAAAATAAAGGAAAAACACCATTTACAGCATCCCCTGAGAATGTGAATTCCAATACAATGGAGAAACAAAAAGACTTATGGGAAACAAGTTTGAATTGAAGAACATAATAGGCATGCAAGACTTAGTAATACTGATCAATGTGAAACCAGGTATTCTTGGACTGCAAGATATCTTCAAATCCTGAGGCACGATTTGCTGAAACCCTTGTAATTTTCTTGTTTGTGGTGTGTCAGAGAAGACCATACGATAAATTGGAATAATACAAAAATAATATAATACAAACCACAGATGAGAAAAAATACAAATAAAGCCTCTTACATCCACCTAATTGAGAACACACTCAGTCAACCTAGAACAGAAGGCAACAAATTTTGTATAGCCCTCTCTGAAAACATTGAAATACTCAGTTACTATTGATTCAAGTTCAATTGGAAAAGACCCCAGTCTAGTAAATTACATATCAAACTTTCTATAGGCTACTAACCACAATAATGAGACAAAAAATTATTCACTTCATAAATACTTACAAGAATTAAACTTGCAAAAACTGCTCAATCCTTATATATTCTAATACTTACTTGTGTACCATTCTGGCAGTCAAAGCATGAGCTTCCATATGGTGAATAGGTATGAAAGGTTTAGATGTTTCTTTGACAAGTTGCTTGCTATATTTAAGACCAACTGATAATGACAATGGAAGGCCTGGTTTCACTGTTGTAGCAATAGCAGAGAGATCCTATAAAACAAAGAAAAATATTATATATATATATATATGTTAAACTCCTTTTATAATGTGTGGTATTCTGATATCCAGCATTTAAATTTAAATATCAAGTATTTGCAATACAGCAGGATTTAGGATAAGCTAAGCAAAGAATAACTTTAACATTAATACTGAAAAAAAGGAAAGCAAGTAAAAGTAGGGCAATATCCTGTAATTCTAGATCATCTATGTTATCAATCATTCCAATTTTAAACATTGAAGTAAAATAAATCCCTTAGTTTGTCTGAACTACTCCAAGGCTCTTCACCACCCCTTAAAATGAACAGGAAGGCATGACACAGAATAAGGGTCAAGTAAATATAAAGCTTATGGAACAAATGTTCTTTGTAACATTTATCTAAGCTACAAGATTAGCATACGTTCTACATCCTGCTTGCAAGGATGTCAGAAACTACATGCAGAAGACCTGCATACAAATTTATTAAAATTACCTGAACATACCTGACTAAAATTGCATTCTTCAATAGTTACAGAAGGGTGAGATAAAGCAGTTCTTTCATCTACAACAACTGTATATAATAAGTTACTTATTTTCAAGACTTATTGTTTTTATTCAAACTGATGTCAGTACATGTGTGATTAAGTAATACTCTATAAATAAATTTGTAACAGTTACGTGACATTGTTTAAGCTAGGTAATTTAATCGATTACATCAACTAGTTTCATGTAAACTAATTGATTAGTTGCAAATAGTGTTTGCAATCACTGCTATTTTTGATTATTCCAACAGACAATAAACCAAAATTACAATTAAATCAATTGTAACCAAAATAATCAACTAATCAAAACTATGGTTTCTGATTTTTACTGTTTTTGTTTATTCTAACTATCCAAGTAATCAAAATACTGCTGTTACATTTTATGTTTTATCAACTATCACATTTTATAGAGTCAAAAATTGACTTTCATGAACAATTTCAGACAGCATCTGTAAATTAAACTGAGGTTTAACACTGCTATTGTTATTTGACATATATTCCTGTATTAGCATGTAACCTATTTAAAGCCCAATATACCTGTGGTAGTACATTTTTAGAAGGAAGAGAAAAAATTGTAATTACATCATCAAAAATAGTATCTAACTATGCAGGGATCAAAATATTACATTCCAGAGGAATTTAACTTTGCTTGAGGAATTTCATTGGCTTTCCCAATGGGAAATGCTAGGTCCATCCATATTCCTATAGTTATGACCAATGAAAGTGAACATATTGCATGGATTAAATAAATAGAAAAAAATCACGAGGAAATGCAACAACACATGAGGGAATGTAATATTCCTAATAGCTTTCCCTCAAATGAATGTAATTTTATTTCATTATTTCTATCCCTGAGAATGTTACATTTTGGCTAAATATTTAAACATTTAACATGAAATGCTATTATCAACAGAAAATGGCATTAAAAAAAATTGTTAAAACATTGCCATACCAGTGGTTTTCTATGAAGAAAAAAAAATCTCATTAAGTCCCATCAGGCTGTGGGAAATAGAAAAAATAAAATGCAAGTAATACAAACAGTTTTAGGAAAATTAAATGGGAAAAGAAAGTATGCCCCGAAGTCATAGAATGAACACTTATACTTATTATACAATTAGACGTACCTTTAATTCACATTGACTTCTTTCCAGTGCCATGTTAACAATACCTTGTATGTGCTTGTGGTGTAAGTCACGAGCAATAGGTGGTATAATTCCCCCATGCCTTAAATAAATAAATAAAAAAATAACTTTATTCTTTAAAAAGAATTAACTTCCTATTTATATAATTGTGCATTAACAAGTATATTTCATTTTTCTTTTGAATTATAATACATGTATGCATATACGGTTACCCCTACAAAGTGAAATGCAGTAATTGATAAATCTTGAGAGAAAGGTGCCATTTTTGGAATGAGGCCAGGCCTTTTTAATTGGGAATGTTTGTGTTAAAACTTATTAGATTGGAAAAATTATACTAATAACATTAAGACAGAAATTGACAATAACTGAACCATTTGAAAAAATTGTGAGAATGATAACACTAGGAACTTTTGACAGGGTAGGAATCATCTTTAGCTAAGACAACTTTACTTTTCTAACAATGTGGTTGGCCTTTGCAATGGGTTGCCTTCGAATGTGGTATATGCAGTTAATATAAGGGAAGGATTGATAAATATGTGAATGATAAGCACTGGCTTTGTGTATTTTATTTTCGAGTTTAGTACAGTGGATAGGATGGCTTAGATGAACCAACAAGTTCCTTGTTGTCTTTAAATTACCGTATTTTTCGGAATATAAGACGCACCCTTATTTTTGAAGACAAAGTTTTGGAGAAAACTTTACTATACCAACTTTACTAACTCCATTACTATAATTTATTTTTTTATTATTTAGGGAGCATTATAAATAGTTGTTTTTAGAAGAAAAAACTACTATTGTTATAAATAACACATTCAATTGAACTAAACTATGCATGCCTATTTAAATATATTTACACATGGCTTGTGTATATCATATATATACATATATATTATTCATACCTTCGGTGTATAGGGCACAAGCAGATTTTGACATAACATTTTGAGGTAAAAAAGTGTCTTATACACTGAAAAATATGGTATATGTATATGTGTGTATAATGATATATATACATTTTTCTTCAACATTACATTTTGTAGTGTCACATGGCTGTTTCTGGATGTTGGGAATTTTTTATCTGTAACACTAGGCCCTGTAAAATAGTATTCTCAATCTACATGCACAGTACACCAGAGTACTACTCAATCTGAGAACCTCTAAAACCCCACCTGATTTTGCATGTATCCAATTTTATGATGAGATTGACATAAATGACAATAATCTAACATGCTTATTCTTAAAAAAACATTTTTCAGCTTTGTTGAAAAAAATTATTTCAGAACAATAAATAGAAACCAATAGGCACAAAACTGAGTGCTGCTTTTCAAATGAACTCTCAAATCGAGTCTATACAATGATTTTCTTTGTACAACTTTCAATCCAAGACTGGATTTTTCTTTGGCTCATGTAAACTGCTTTCTTTTCCCATCTTTTTCTTTCTAATAATCACTTAATCATTCACCTACTAATTACTTTGAATACAAGTGTTGAGTAATTTATCTATTTTTGTCACTGTTATTGGTTATGCTTAGTAATTCATTATTTTTCTTTACGTTAAAATGATTTGTTTCCTAATAGTTTGTCTTGAGGTATACTTAAAAAACACTTATAATTAGATACAACTTTTATGCCAACACCTAAGAATTTCAGTTGAATAAAGAAGCATTTGTGAGTCTCAGGGTAGTAATTCCCCTTGTAATTTACGAATTACTGTCAAATGAACTTTAAAAAGTATGATTGTCTCAAACAAAAATTACAGGGAAAGCTATGTGTGTGTGCTATAAAAACTTTGTAAAGTTTTTGTTTTATGTAATTGAATGGTTGAATGTTATACACACATGAATTTCTTTCTTGTGCCCTCGTTAAATAAAAATCATTTATAATTATCAAATTCCTAATCCCTCAAAAAATATATTATGAACCACTGTACAAACTAATAAAATTTGATGTAGACCTTTACAACAATCAAGATTGTTACACACATGTATAGAACTTAACAAATAAGTAATAATGTGTACTTTAGCCCAAACTTTGCACTCCAGATCTAATTTGTGTAACTAGAAGAAAACAAATTATAAAAACAGTTACAAAGTCTGAATTTTGGGCTACTGTCTGCTTTATTACTACAACACATACAGTTTTATTTTGTTAGACTAAGTGATGGCTATTCATGTAAGGTTTGGTATCATTAGATCATATTCTGACCACAAAAAAATTCAAAAAAATTTGACTTTTCACAGTTTATTCATATCAAAAATCATATACTTTAAAGAAGCTAAATTTGTGTAATCATTCGTTACATAAATGTGAGAATAAGTGACTGTTCTAAACATCACTAAGTGTAAAAAGTAAAAGAAAATATATACAAACAATCATTGAACAAGGTGTTTTTAGTTTACATAAATAAAAGATACACGTCATAATAATTAAATATTGATCAAACTTACTCAAGATGAATTTGCAACTGAGAATGCAATGCCTCACCAAGTATATTTCCATCTGCATCAACAACTGCTGCCCCTGTATCATCACAGCTTGTTTCAATTCCTAAAATCACTGGTGAACTTTGTCTGTGAGTGTAATACAAACGCCTCCATATATTTTTGAACTCTTTGTAATATACATTTCTATTTAAGAAATTATGAATATATTTATACGTCCTAAGAGTCCTATTTAATGATACACTCGTGACATATCTTGCACATTGCATAGCAACTCTATACAAATTACAATTAAAATATACTATACATATAATTAGTAATTTAGTAGTACTACTAATATTAATAAAATTTATTCATTTACAGGTCCACATTAACGAAGAACAAAATCACGATAAACAGTAGATCGCACTTTTGAACTTGATGTTTACAATCATTTCAAAAATCACACGCATAAAAAACATAGCATTTTACAACCTGCCCCACAGAAACATTCACAAGCCTAATAAACACACTGCGAGTGTGTTCGTTAATTCTCGCGTGGAAACTACACTCGTTCGTTAATTCCCAGTTTCGTCACTTTGTAAACTTAGAAGGTGGTATTTTTTGTTACGAGCGGCCATGGAGCGGGAAAATGAAAATGACGCACAAACATCAAGAATCTGGATGAAAACCATCTAATGACAATTAACTTCCCTCTATTAAGCTTGAAATTGCAATATGTAAGACTTTAGCATAACAAATAAAGCAAAGTATACACCAGTGCAAATGATGAACATTGAACATAAACGGACATGGCTCTGATAGGGGTTTGGTTTGTTTTGTTACGTCTCCGTTTGTTAATTAACTTTCCGTAACTTCGTTCCGACGAAACTTTAGCGACACAAGTCCTTACTTAATAAAACTGGTTTATTCTTTTCGAATACAACTTTACGATACACTTATTTTCAACAATCGCGCTAAAACAAACGCTATATCAACGAACGTCAATAATACTTCTGACTGCAGTTCAATTACTCACTAACTACACACACACATTCCATTCTTCCGTCACGTTGTCACCCCTCTTTTATATACCAGACTACCCTATATCTAGTAAATACTAGAGCATTCGCCAAGGTACAGGATAGTTCCAGAAACTAGGTGGCGCCACACCAGTCACGTGACCTAGCTGACGCAACGCTGCCCCCTCCTTAGTATTGTTCGTCCCGAACAATAGCCACTTACAATAAACCAATAACAATTAACAATAACTTAATTAAATGTACAGAATTACACTCACAAAATTACAATTCAACAAAGTCTTTTAATTTTATGGGACGTATCTTCTTCCGTACTGGTCTCCGTCTCGTTGGCTTCTGCTTCATATGGGGTTCATCTGCTTCATCAGTAAATGTCCTATCATCGGTAACAGTCACATCAGTGGTAGTAACTTCATCAAGAGCTTCACTGATTCCCTTCTCAAAACTGAGTAGTTTCTTCTTCGAAGTTGGCTTTTTCAGGTGGCACGTCTTCAGCAGCGTCATTTGTTTTGTTGTCCACTTCGTTCCAATTGGAATGTCCTGGACCGTGACAACGCCAAAGACTGTTG